CTTGTATTAAATTTTCAAGCTTTTCTGCCTAACAAATAAATTTTTATCGATATTAATTTAAAAAAAACTAATAATGATCGAAAATTTGAAATGCCTATGAATAGTTCAACTTAAGTCGAAATTTTTTGAAAATTGCATGGTGGATAGAATATACTTATATAAACATCAGGTGAAAATTTAATGTATCTATGGTCATTTGTTTTCAAGTTACATCAAAAACCAAAATCGATTTTGTCGAAAAACGACTGTGGTAAAATTTCCCGTTTTTCCCTTAATTTTTAGTTTGTTTTTCTCAATTATTTAGAAAAGTATTAAGACCCCAAAGTACCAACTAGATTCACTTTCTGATCGAACGAGGTACTGAAGTCAAAAATCGAAGCATTTTTACTGCCCCAAAACGTGATGACAGACACAAAAAAAAAACACACACATCATGGTAAAATCAATACATTCATCGCTCCGCTCAGAATCTAAAAACTGAAGGAAAATATTTCATACAATATAATGATAAATATTATAAAAACTAATAGTTTAATATCTTTAAATGTTAGAAAATATTTAACTATTTTTCTAAATCATATTATCATAATATATCAGTAATATCTCAATATTTACTGTTAAGCAAATATTGAATTAAACTAAAAAATGTATTAATATAACATAGGTATACATTATATTATATAAGTATATAACACACCTTTAATAGGGGTTTTTTATTTTTTTCGGTTCGAAAAATTAAATCCGTCGAATTTCTTATGCTAAACATAAATGTAGTATAAATACATATATTGTAGTAAAAMAAATAAATACGTACATCTAAATAATTGATAGTTTTTTTATTAGAAGGACCATCTATAATTATAATAATGTATTCAGTGTCAATATTTATCTAGTTTTTTGTATGAAATATAAATTATGACTTTAAATTAATATAAACGTTAAACATTCAAATTCACGGAGAGTAATAATACAAAAATTACATTTCTCTTTGGTTTTTTAACAACATATCTTATACACAACATCCTAATTTACATAATATTGGTATTGAATAAATATATTTTATTTTTGTTTATCCAATATTGAAAAATAAATTTAAATAATAAATAGTATTGTTTTTCGTCGTATTGGGTACACATTGGCTTATAAAATATATTATGAATACGATACGTATGACTAAACAGAAAAAAACGAGAATAAAATAGTATTGTACCAATACATAAAAATGGTTAGACACATATAGTAAAAAAAATGCGATTGAAAAATAAATACATCTTGAGAACTCACTTTAAACTATTACTACGCGATATGGTACAAAATCTTTGCCATACATGAATTCTAGTTTGGTTCTAATAAGAAATTCGAAATTTTAAAGTTAAAAACGTCCTGCAGTTGTGTAGRTACTACATTTTCGATGATCCTGCCTGCATCATATCTTGCAGTGGTATTTCGACGACAGCATCGTCCTCGTTCTCGTCGTTGGCAGACGGCCGCGGCAGTGGTAATTCGTCGTTTTTCGCCTGGAAAAAGCACGTGATCTCTTTCTGCCATACCGGAATCTCTCTGGGGTGCACTGGATTTCCACCACCCGAGTATTTATCTAAGGCAAACAAAATAATAATGATAACAGCATCATACTTTGTAATAACGGTACTTTCGTGGATAGAACAACGAAACCCGTAGAAAACCACCACCTCCACACGCTATACACAACCGGCGTACGGATTTTACGAAATAGTATAGTAATATAATATAACACGTCAAAGACGTGAAAGTGAAATTACTTTTGGATGTGGACGGAGACGACGCTGATTTATGACCAGACGATGACGAACCGCTGCAGCTACTGGCCGCCGCCGCTTTGCAAGCAGCAATTTTAGGTACTTTCCCAATGGAAACTTAATGGTGATAAAAACATATGAAAAAAAAAAAGAAAAATTAGATTAAAATTATACCGTAATATATTATTTTGTTGTAACTATCCATACAAAGTAAGGTGGATAAAATATTAAGGAAAAAACAATCACATTAATTTTTATCCAAATTTATTGACAATCGTCAGTTTTATCTAGCCGATTCACAATTTAGTATTGTAATATACATTGTACTTAGTAAAGAGGTTTACATGTTTTCTCGTTTCACCGCTTAATATAATATACATAAGGTGTACACAAACCACCCCAAGCGAATTGCAATGTTTTTCAATCGTCTAAAATATATATATCAATTTCGTGTATTTTATAGTCGTCCATTCTTATTTTTCAAAAAATGTATTCATTTAAATTCAATTTTTTTGGTAAACAAAATCAACTATTAATTTAACGTTGAACATTAATATATTATTTTGATTTCACTCGACTACTTTATTGTTATACTGATTTAATACAATATAGTAGGTACCTATTGCACTCCCTAATAAATATTAAGTAATACCTATAATATTATGTATTATGATATACTACTGAAACTTGAAAAATTAATAGTTATATAATATATAAATTGTTAAAAACAATCAATTATTGTAGCATTTAAATAGTTGGGTAAATTTTTGGCTGTAGCCCATTTGCGCCCAAGAGCAGCCCATTTGCGCGCCGAGGGTTATGGACATTTGCGCCCAAAATAAAAAACTTAACACCCTGATTTRTAGCCCAAATGCGCCCATTTTGCATGCAACGTTGCCGTTGTTGTTTAAAAATATACAATTCTATGTAAAATCAAAATTAAAAAAAAGTAATAATTTTAAAAATAATGTTAAATACTAAACAGTATACATA